AAAATCTGAATTGAATTAAGCTTAGGATGTGGATAGCCTTTTGTTCTTTTAAAATCACATTTTTCAATTGGGCCTTCTTCCCCAGAGACTGTCTGTTGAGACTGCTCTCCTCTTGCTGGATTTGGTGGTGCCTTACAGGAAGGTTGTGTTTTGTTTTGGTTTTTTTTTTAAGAGACAAAAATCACATTAACTCTGAGATTCCTTTAAATGCCATCTTGAAAGTAATATTTCTCTTAGCCAGCTTAGTCTTTTCGCAGAGTGAGCAGCACTAACCTGAATCTGATGCTGACATTTAAAATTAATCCTAATAATTCCATCCCAGTCAAGAAAAAGTGGAAAGTCCTGTGCTGCCCTTCAAAACAAGAGGGTTTGAGGAGAAACTGAGCTTGATCCCTCTTGCAAAATACCCATTTATGAAGGTCTACAAGGTTAGACCCTCTTTTGGATATCCTATGTTGGATCATACTCGTCCCCAGTGGATTTTCCAGTTCGGGATGGGAGTCCTGGGCAAAACCTGGGATCAGAAAGGGCAAGTTATGAAATCAGTCTCCCTCATCCAAGCCTGTGAGTCCATGGATAGAGTGGGGGGGGGGCTCCAGCACCTTAAAAAGCACATTGCAGAGGACAGCACGGGTGGGCTGGGAAGAGAATCGTGACTGGATTGTGAACTTCCAGTAAAACACCAGTTTATTCCACCAGGTTATTGACTGGCATGGTATGGATGTTCCTTGGCCTTTGCAGAACGCTTTAAAAAGCTTTAATTTCTTTTTGATGCAGAAGCGAGACCATCCTTAAATCTGAGTTCTGTGGGAGAGGAGAAGCTGTTGTCTTTCATGATTTCATGGTCTGAAGTTATTTCCCTTTAAAGCAGCAGAATTTTCTAACATCATAAAAAGTATGAAAGGAGTTAAAAAAGAAAAAAAAGAAACCCCCTTAGACAAACATCAACTGATTTGAAGTTTGCACACATCTGCACTAAGGAAAAAAATGCACATTGGCTGTGGACCCACTAATGAGTTTAGCAGAGCATTTCATCAGTCAGAGCTGCCGGGCGAGCTCCAGCCCCCCGAGC